ATTCATGAAATGATCACGAAGAACGTCCGGCCAACGACGTTAAAGAAGGCGCTTGTTGGGAGGCAACCCAATTTCATATCCTTTTTATTTACATGTTTGTATTTCATTATGCTTTTATACTCTTATTGCTTGTGGACGATGCAATTCAAGTGTAGGGGGAGAAGCAAAGCAAAGAAATGTGAAGTTTCAAGGCTAATTTTGAACAAAGTGGGCGGAATTAGCAAAGGCATCGAAACCCGCCCGGCTTTCGCGAAAGCCGCCCGGCATTTGGTCGCCGTAGGTTAATTCCATTTATTCAGATCGAAAACCGCCCGGTTTTCCCAAAACCCGCCCGACTTTCAGGTCTGCTTCCCAGGTATTTTTCTCGCACCCGAAACCCGCCCGGTTTTCGGGATTGTCGCCCGGCTTTTGGGCGCCGAAGGTAATTCCAGATTATTTAAATCGAAAGTCGCCCGACTTTCGTGTAAGCCGCCCGGCTTACGGGTTCTGGGAACAATCTGTTTAACCGAAAGCCGCCCGGCTTTAGCATATGTCGCCCGGCTTTCGGGGACGAATGTTTTATTACCTGTTCTGTTTAAACACAAACACACGCACACAACGCCCAAAAGACGCCCGGCGAACGTGAGAGCTCGAACGACAACCCCCTTTCTTCACGTTTCTTCTCCTCTTTCAAGCTCAAAACAGGTATTTCTCCATCTCCTTCACTTCTTAAACTCAATTTCATAGCTTTTTCTTCATTTAATCGATAGAATTGGTTGTTCTTCCCAAATTTTGAATTTTAGGGTTTATGCAAATTGATAGCTTTTAGGCCTAATTCATTGCATGATATCTTGTTCTTGTTGCCTTTATTGCTTGTATGAACCATTTCAACCTCTTTTCAAGTAGTTATTTCCAACAATTTTGAAATTTTTGCTATTTGGTCAAAATTGGGGGTTTAGGGTTCGAAATTCTTGTTCAAATTTGGGGATTTTCAATTGAATTCTTGTGATTAGTAGTTGTTGAGTAAAGTTGTGATTATATTGTCCTTTGTCTTGATGAATTGTGATTAAACTCAATTTTTAGGGGAAACTTTGTCAAATTTTTAAGAAAATTGACTAGAATTGTTTGAGTTTGTAGGTTCAAATGGCTCCAAAGGGGAAGTCCGTTAGCACCGAGGCTGGCCCGAGCAATCCCAAGCGGGCAAGGAACAACAAGGCACCCGCGGCCTCCTCCACCATCTTGCCTTCTAGCCGGTTTGTCAACACCAGGTGCTATGAACGGTACTTGGAATCTAGGGACAACGATTTCGTTGTTGAGAAGACGGTGTCGCAACCTATTGACCACGAGTACCGGCTCACCGAGGCCTTCGCTAATATCGATTGGGAGCCGGTGCTACATCTTGAAGGCACCTTCTACCCGGAGCTCGTCAAGGAATTTTTCGCAAATATCGAAGGAAATAGCCCCCGAAAGATGATTGAGAGCCGGGTCAAAGGGGTAAAAATCACTATCACAAATGACCTATTGAGATCTCAGTTTCGCATCGCCAACCACGGCATCCCTTTCGCCCCTTCCCAAGCCGGAGCAATGAATAGCGACGTTGGCTACAACCCCTTGGATGCGATGCAATATTTCGGCTTGCAAGGACACGAGCTTATGACCAAGAACCTTGGTCAACCACACATCCGGGCCCGGCTTTTGATGTACCTCTACTCATTCAACGTCATGCCGAGAGCAAGTGGCTACAACAAAATTCGAAACGCCGACCTCTACTTCGCGTATAGGATGCTTGCCGGGCTTGGACGTTGTGAGGGGATTCCTCTATCAAGCATCATCATCAAACAATTGTGGAGCGCGGCTTTGAGCAACAACCAAGATAAGGCCTTCATTTTCCCTATTCTACTTTCTAACATTTTTGAGCATTTTGGTGTTAGCTTTAGAGGGGAAGAAGAACGGGAGACACATGCCGTGCTTGATGATAGTGTCATGATACACCTTCGCTATTTCCAACCGCCGCACGGAGGACCATGGAGGTGCGTGGAGAGATTCCATAGAGTCGTGCCCGAAGAAAATGAAGAAGAGATGATGGAAGGAGGAGAAGCCCAAGGTGGAGAGCCCGAGGAGCACCATGAGGAGGCGGCTCACGTACCTCAAGCCGGAACTCATTACGACATGGACTATTTGACCGAACAATTTGGTCAAATTCATACGGAGCTTGCGGTTCATCGACGGGATTTGCGAGACCAACGGCGGGCTATTGAAGGCATGGGGAGTCATCTTTGGAACATGAACTACTACTGCCAAGAGTTAGGGCGGCACTTCAGCATTCCACCACCGCCACCTTATGACCCGCACTTTTATTTCCCTCCCCAAGGAGATGGAAATGAAGGGGATGAGTAGGTTATGAAAAGGGAAGTGTACTAAAAATACTAAACTTGAACCACCTTTTCTTTGTTTTTCTTTAAACTCCTTGTGCTACTTTTGTGCCTATTATGTGTTGTTTGATTGCTTATTTTCTTGCTTTGCATTTAATTACTCTTGTGCTTCACATTGGGACAATGTGGAATAAGTGTGGGGGGGTGACTTTATACTTGAAAATTGTGCAAGTTTTTTTTGGAAAAAATTGTTCATTTTTGGTCCATATTTTTTGAAAAATATTTTAGCAAAACCCTTGTCCTTCAAACCCTTTTCTTCAAAAGAAACTTTTCTTAACGTTTTGCCTTAATATTTTCATAGAAAGTTTCGAAATTTGCTTGAGGACAAGCAAAGCTCAAGTGTGGGGGTATTTGATAAGCGTTTTATTAACGTGTTTTACACAATCATTTATAAACGCTTTTATACTTAAAAGAATTAAATCTTCACACATATGCCTCGTTTTGCTAGAAGTTCTTTAAATCAACAAATGGATCAAATGCAAGGATGGTAGAATACACACGAAGAAACCGACGGAAAAAGGTCAACCAAACGCATCCCGAGGAACAAATAAAGACCACAAAAACGCCCAAGACAGACGAAAGCCGCCCGGTTTATGCCAAAGGCGGCCGGCCTTTGGTCCCCAAGCTTATTTTCGCATCCAAAGCTGGAAAATCTGATCCGGAGCAAGAAAGGACGAAAGCCGCCCGGCTTTCGTGAACACCGGCCGACTTTTGGTCGCCGAAGGAATTGTTCAGAATTTAATTACAAAAGCCGCCCGGCTTTTGTAAATGGCGGCCGGTTTTCGGGCCCTGGAGCGAAGGCAGACTATTTTAAACGCGCAAAAGCCGCCCGGCTTTTGCGAATGTCGCCCGGGTTTCGTCTGGCACTGATTAAAACAGGCAACGGTCATCACAATCATTCGAGAGAAGCTCCAAACCCCATTAAGGAGCTTGCTTCCTTGTCCAAAAATGGCCGTTGAAGACCCAATATTTAAGCATATGGAAGCCCTCTCAAGTGATTATTCCATATTCCATACACTTTACTTCCATTTTAGCACTCCAAGATCAACCCCTTGGTCTTGGGAGAAGTTCTACACTTGGGGATCCCATTATCCACCATAGCTTTGGAGTTGTGGTATTATCTTCTTATGTATTTCATTGTATTTCATCAATTCAATACTTGTAATTTCATTATGAGTTGCTCTAGCTAATTTTCCATAGCCAAGGTTAGGGATGAAACTTTACGCATTCTAGGTGTTTGATGTATGTTCTCAACCAAATTATTATGATCTTTCCTTTTTATTTTAATATGTATGACTACGGTGTACAACGTATGATTATATCGTTGGGTTTATTTGAGCAATTAACGTTGAGTTATAAACCGTGCACTTAAAGGCTAGACATATTCTAATTGTGGATAGAAATATACCTCAATTGAATATGGTGGTTGTAATAATGTCCTAATCTTCAATGGGGTTAATTTTAGATGAATGTGAACCGTGACGGGATTCACACGTAGAATTAATCACAATCTCGCTGCCGTAACAGGAGTTAGAATACTTTAGCGACATTCCACTCATAAGAATTGGTGAAAGAATATACATTAATCACTAGGAGTCGTTTAGGAGTAATCCCGAACCCTTGGTTGCTTTCATTACCACTTGAAAAACCAAAAATCTTTACTCTTTTACCAAGTCTTTTACAAATTATATTCTCAATTTTTGAATCATATAAACAACGTTTCCTCGTGTTCGACTCGGTATTTTTACCGGATTTTATTACTACATCGGCACTTGTACACTTGCAAGTTTAAGCCGATCATTAGGGGACCAAAAGTGGCAAAAACTCTTCTTTTTATTGTACTCAACTATACGTTGTTTTGTCAAGAATTACAAAACAACAAAGTTTACAGATATTAATATCAGTTCAAATATACCCTTTTTCTATATCCATTCTTCACTGTTGTTTCAATCTAACCAATATCGATAAACTGGTAAAGCGAGTTTTTTTGTTCACCGATTTCAAAAAAAATAAAAACAAAAGAATTAGACAAATATTGTTACTTAAATAGCCGTATTTGTACCGATGAGAAGTGGTGTGATGCCAAGTGCGAATTAGAGTGATTTCACTACAAGAATACAACGAGATATTGACACGGACTGGGCACAAATTGTTCGAGTTTTGCACAAACGTCATGCCAAATAGTTGGTGACAAAGCGGTATTGGTACGGCTTTTGGCACGGAATTGACGTATCCGTGCCAAATCCGTGTGAAATACCCTATAAATTTTTGGCTAATCCATGCTAAATATATGTGATAAGTCCATGCCAAAATCATTGTTTTTTTAAAGTGTTTTTACGAATGGAGTGAACTTTTGTAATACTCCGCATTAGTTTATTGAGAACATAAATTGGTATTTTACTCTGATAATTTATGTTTGGTCATACTTCGTATTATTCTATGTAGTCATACTTAATTAGAGAAATTTTAATCATCTGGTAAATATGCTTTTTTCACTAATTTGATTTTGATTGTACTTTCACTGATTTCAGCTCATAGGAGTGGACTCTCTTTCTGGTTAAGAATAACTATCAGCCGTAGCTAGATGATGCCAATTTGAGGGATTTGGTGTGTTTTTCTTATTTCCAAATCAATGAGTTCATTTTGGATTACCAACGCACAAGAAAAACTAGCAATGTAACTCTTATTTAGATTTGTAGTCTAAAATTAAGTAGTCTTTCAATGCACCTTGACAGTATACTAAATAAGCTCAGGCCTTTCAAGTTCTGCTGCCCTTTCGATGCTCGTACGGGGAAGCGGATTACATATAATTTCCTTGGCCAACATTGAGTATATATGAGTTGCCTTCCAAGTTCCAACAATTCTTATCTTCTCAATAGGTACAGACAGTCTGTTAAGCTTAATTAAATACAGGTCTTGAACTTCAATACAATCACCACATTGTAACATGGAGAAGAATCAAGAATCCCCTATTTGCTTGAAGCTTTTGATAGACGAGAAGAACAACCGAGTCCTGGCGGCAGAAGCAAACTCGGATTTCGTGGATATACTCCTCAGCTTCCTCACCATCCCCATGGGAACCATAATCAGACTCACCAGCAAAACAGATGCGGAAAAGGCAGGACCAGTGAATATTGGGTGCATGACCAAGTTGTACCATGCTTTTGAAAACCTCACCCCAGAAAACTGGAAGACGAAACACTGCAGGACCATGGTGTTGAACCCCAGAAATGCGCTGGCTTATTCTTGCAGGAATTTGAAGATCAATGTTGATGATTCTGGGTCCGAGGTGACGTACATGTGTAACCAGAACAAGTGTTGGAGCAAGTACAAAAATGTCGCTTGCAAGTGTGGGCATGGTTCGAGGACCAATACCATATTTGCTTTAATTATGGCAGATAGCAAACCTGATTCTGAGCCTGAGCTCGAGGGTGCATTTCTCAAGTGGGGGATGATGATGTTCATTGTCACTGACAATTTACAAATCAGACCTTCTTCCCCAACTGTTCTTGCTCAGGTTCTATCCAATCTTGGTTCCAGCGAAATCAACCTAATCAAGGAGATGCCTGTACATGTTAGTAAGCAGCAGGTACCACAACTAATATCTCCAACACTTCCAATAATTAATCCGGGTATGTTTTTACTTGGACTATTTTTGAAACTAGACTAGACAATTATGATTATAAAATACACATATACTTGTTAAATTATATTGTAAATTTTATTGATATGCTACTAGTTAGAAAACTGATATGTTATTCACATTATGTTATGTTTGAAGGTAATCCGCCTGCTTGCATACTCAATGGTTTCAAAGTCTCCTCTGTCTGATGTGTTTCTTGACACTCCCGTAAGACCAAATGTAGGAGCTTTTAGCGTACATTCGGAAACCCAGAAACCTGTGGCATCCTCAACAAATGGTTTTGTAGAGAAACCGGAGGGAAATGCTCAGAAGTTGAATCTGAATTTGACGTTGAACAAATCTACGAAAGAGATATTGTTTGCAGAAGCCACCACGGACTTCTTTGATTTCCTGTGTACCTTTATGACCAGCCCAGTCGGATCAATGTTATTTCTTTTGAAAGGGAATTCTGGGTTAGGCTGCTTGGATGACTTGTACAAAAGTATGGTGGAGTTGGATATTGAATGGTTTAATTCGAAAGCTTTGAAGGCGACCTTAATCTGCCCCAAAGTTGCAAAGCACCATAATTGCAAGAAACAGCCTCTAAATTTGGAGGAAAAATGTCCATGGGAGAGTCTGATAATTGACCCCAGGCAGAGTGGTAGCTTCTCCAAAGAACCTTTAAAGTTCATAATTTTAGATGACTTGGAAGTGAAGCCTCTGTCTTCTGCATCAAGCTTTAGCATTCTCAAGGAACTCAAAGTCCCCATCACTGAGATTGAGCAGCAAGCACTCACGGTTAACATGGAAGAGGTAATTTTGGCACACTCCCATTCCCTACCCTAAAGCTTAGTTATGTACTACCTCCGTCCCATATTGGTTGTCCACTTTCAATTTGACACGATTATTAATAAAGTGGTTGAAAAGTAAAAGTTGTGGTTGAGATTTGAGTAAAATAATGTAAATTGATAAAGACCATATATTTCTTGCCAAAAAGGGAAACAAGACATTCATTTTGGGACACCCCAAAAAGGAAAGTAGGACAACCAAAATGGGACGGAGGGAGTATGCTACATTTAACTTTTTGGTCAGTGTCAAATAAACAACATTGGCACAAAATCACTATATAATTGCAACACTTTTATTTTAATGTTTATTAAGAAACGGTTTTCCCCATTAACATACGTACTACGTGGTACAAAGTATTTTATTGACTAATAATGAAAATTATAAAACACGTGTTTAGAATATCAGTCTAAGACAAATTTATAATATAATTTTTATAAAAAAATTATTTGGTACATTAATAAATAAAAAGAAATTAAATTAGTGTGTGGATGGTGTAGCAAAAGTAAAGGTATGAGTGATGCCATGCATTGAGATTTTCAGATTACCTAATTAAAACATATTCATATTTCTCTATTCTTTAAAAGGTAAAACACTTTTATTTTTACATTATTTGCACTCTACTTTGATTTTTTCATAAGTTACAAACTCCATTTTGACTCGTTTTTTATTTATTGCTGTACTAAAAAACTGTTCTATATAATAAAATAGATAATAAAACTTATTTCGGATTGAAGTTTATTTACTTTTAATCAATGTTTACTGATGGTCAATGAGGAAATTAAATTTTGAAATTAAAAGTGTTGTAATTACATAGATGAAATGTAATACCAAGTATTGTTTGTCACAAATGGGTTTTTAAAAAATGTTCACTACATCCTAGTAGAAGTTTAGATTATTTCAACTTATGTTTTTCTATTTTAAATGAGTTTTTTTTAAATGTTATTGAAATAAAACTTATATATTTAGAAAAGTATGACTAGAGTTAAAGTTACTATGAGTATATTGTCAAGGTCATATAGGTATAAAAATTGGATGTAAGTTATTATGATTAAGTTACTATAATAATCATTATGCTCAAGAGGTCATATTTTTTAAACAACCGTACTTCCTGTACAACTTTTGTTCACCAAACCCCCCATTTATGTTTTTTGTACATAGATGTAAATACATTACATTTAATTTAGTCATTGATTTTTCCTCCTTTACGATGAAAATGATTCCACTAACATTAATTGGGAAATGCGGAGGTGATGTGATTTATAATGCAAATTATATCGTGGGATCGGTATACCGTGCGCATAATGTACCAATCTCACCGGCGAGTTCGCCGAGTTCCCTTACGGCACTAGAAAAGTTGCATTTTGATTAGCCTTTATAAGTTACATTTCCATTAATATAGATTTACATTTCCATATGCCCTATATTACATTTCCTTTAACAAAACTTAAATTACAACTTGCATTAATAAGTTACATTTCAACTAATGTAATTTACCTTTCAATCTATCTAAGCAAGTTACATGTCATGTAACGTGATTTACATCTCAATATACTTGAAGTTACATTTTAATATACACGATTTACATTTCGTATATAACACTCAAGAGAATAACTATTGAAGGGAGTAAAGTAACATTCCAGCGCCTGAGTTACATTTACCAATAACTGAGATTACATTTCGCAATACACAAGTTACATTTAAATACAAACGATTTACAGCACGAAAAATATTTAGGCAAAAATTATAATTACTGTTCATTCGCGTTTTTTAATTTGAAATTTTATATTAAATGATATATTTTACTAATGGGAGTACGATGCTCACCCTGGGATGCTCCCACGGTATAGCAACTCGATTTATAAGTAAAATCAGTCTATGTGATTGATATTGAATTGATTAAATAAGAATAAAGTAAAATGATATATAACTACTCTAACTTTACTAAATTTAGAATGAGACAAATCTAGTGAGACATGAGAGGATCTAGATGAGGGCCACGGTCCACCCTAATTTAAAAAATGCTTTAATTTTTAAGGTAAAAATTTCTGTGTGTTTTTTTTTACAAAAATATTCTTTCTACCAACTCCTTCCAGCCGAATGCCCTGGCTTCGCCATTGTAGTGGGATGATTATTAAAACAGAAAAAATAGGCTAGTTTTAATAGGACGAAAGGAATACCATCTAAGTAATGGAAAAAGATCATGTCCAGCTGTCCGGATGCTATCCTCCGTTCGGCCTCTGCCATTTGACGAGGTTCCTGATGGAATTTTTTAATGAAAATTTTTAAACATGTTCTTTGTAAAGTGTTGATTATGTCCACAAACTATTATCTTAAAATCCAATCAGGAAGTCAATTAACTAAATTGAAACATACCGTGTGCTTTTATATACTCCCTCTGCCCCGAAATAACTTTCCAGTTTTCCTTTTCGGTCCGTCCAAAAATAATTGTCTTGCTTCCTCTTTTGGCAATAATGTGTGGCTCATATCAATTCACTCTTTTCTACACAAATCTTAACCACAACTTTTACATTTTCAACCACTTTCTTTAAACTTGTGCTAAAGCAAACTAGACATTTATTTTGGGACGGAGGGAGTATATAGTTGGCACAGATTGTTTTAATAATTTATTTAACTGATTTTCTGATTGAATTTTAAGTTGAAATTTTGTGGAAATGTATTGCATTTCATGTTCAAAAAATTTATAAAACAAAATCATCAGGAACCGTCTCAAATGGTGGTGTCCGGATAGAAGATCGTGTCCATTCGGCTGCAATTTTGTAAGCTAAGTAATTTTGTTACGTTAGCTATCGTTGCATTCTTGCATACAGTTGCAGGCATTGAACCTTCTGAAGGCGGCACTTACATCCCCATCAGGAGCTCTGACAAATGGCTTAGGCCGCTTCTTGCCGAAGCATAAGGCATAGTGCCAGTTAATCTCGCGAAATCTTCTAAGCTAGATCTTGATATGCAAGAAACTAAGTTCATTTCAATGTATCTGGTATTCTTGTATGCCTGTGATCTCGAGCACTCCAGTACCTTCTATTGTTAATTTATTTCTGTTTATCAATAGGAGCATATATCAAATTTAATTTCTTCGTTTGAATTCATATTCTTCTATGAAAGCTAAATATAGAAGTAACTGCAGAAATATTTATACAACATCCAAAGCATACCTCCTCCTAATCTTAAGTATCTCACATAAACAAACATTACTTATGCATCAAATGAAAGAGTCTAAACATTACACCATTGGTATTTGGTGTACAAGTCATAAACATTCAACATATTTCCTCATAAACAACAAATCAGCAAATCAGTAAATTGGCAAGACTATCCATTAGTTTCCTTATAAAGTAGTTCTTTAATCCTTTCCAATAGTAAAGAACTCAAAAAAAATCTAGCAGAAGAGCACCAGAAGGAGAAGTGGAGAACATGACCTCTACATTAGGCTGCTGCCAAAGAAGTCCCATACCATTGCCAACTCAAATGTTCTACGTAGTTATCATATAGGGTAAAGTTATAATTAAATCTAACTGTATTGCTCAAGAAAAACAGGCTTCGCAAATCATCTTGTTAGAGAGGAACTACTAATGAAGTATGATAATTTCAATAAATAATACAGTAAGGGTTAAGGGTGTTCTTTTGTATATTGTGAGATTTTACGCATGAATAGTCATGACTAAGACCATTTGTAGTGGTCAAGAATCTAAATTGTCAAATTTGGACTCCGTTCATATGAAAACAGTGTTTAGACTCCGTCAATACTGTTTTTCCTTGCATTCGTGCGCCGTCAATAATAATTTTTTACAAAATTATTTTAAGTAATGTTTTACTTTTAATTTTTTTTCCTAAGTAATTATGAAATAAAAAATACACACTTCGATGTAAAAACATGTAATTTTCATTATTTTTTTTATGTTTTTTGGTTAACAAAATGAATTAGTTTAAGTAAAGCTCGACTATGGAACATTCAGTTATTTTTGGAGGCTTCATGAATTAAAAATTTGTGTTTCATTCTTTTTAGCTCAAGAAAACTGCAACAGTTAAAACTTCAAAAAAAAAACAAATTCATTTTATATATCACATATGGATGTCACATGAAAGATCATAAAAATTCATGATTTTTTATATATAATTTAAAATTTTTGGAGAACAAATAAAAAAGTTATAAGAGTTTAAAATATTTGGGATTATGATGGCATCTGCGTGAGGTTATCATGATGTAAGCTGAGCCGGCCGGCACTTTCTTTTCTTTAATCATGTCAACGCAACCCTCTATATTTACATTCTTCCACTCTCCTTCCCACTTTTACTCCCCTTTTAATCCACTACTACACCTAATTAGGAGTCTAAAAATTCCATTTTTAATTTTTTGACTCCTAATCTTTAACCACTTCAAATGGTCTAACGCTTTGATGTAACGACTTATATGCATTTTGGGCAATGCAATTACTCCGAATGACTTGCCGAATGACTTTATATAATAATTACTCCATAGTTTTTTTCAAAATGAGGGGGTAATTTGTAAAATAGGGCTTCCTTTTCTTGGAAATTAGGGGTGGGTCGGAGAAACCGAAAATCGAAAATCGAATCGAAAAAACCGAACCGCAACCAAAACAACCGAACCGCAAGAAAACCGAAACTGAACTCAAAAAACCGAACCGAATCATAGTTGTTTGGTTTCGGTTTTGGTTTTCACATCTCAAAACCGAACCGAACCGAAAAATCAAACTTTTTAAAAGTTGTTATTTTATTTATTAATCATTAAGTATAATATTTTGTTTAATTTTTAATTCTTAATTCCTGAAAATTAATGTTTGATACTAGATTTATTATGATTTGCAAGATATTGACATTTAATATTTATTTTAAAATTAATTGAAACACTTGTACATAAACTTAAGTCTATTACTATAATACTAATATGTTAATATTTTAAATCGTAATTTACATTTTGCTTGTTGTTGCATCACAATGATACTTTATTGATATATTATATGTTATATATGTTTGTTATCGCATAATTTTTTATATTGAAAAAATATGTATTAATATAAGCAATACTTTAAACAACATAGCAGAAAATGTGAAACTTTAGAGCATAAATATATTTGGCTAAAAAAAGTAGATTAAGTTATTTACTAATAAAATTTTAACTTGTGAATACTCTTTATATAATTCACAAATAAAGTCATGCGTTTACTTAATTTAGAAAATGTTTAAATTGGTATACACATACTCTCTAATTCATTGTTTGCAAGTGCATTTGTTTCTTCTCTTTTTTTTAATTATGTATGTTTTTGTATTGTATTACTATAAATAATAGTTTGCTATAGTTTATTTTTTGTTTTTGTTTTCCAATTACGGAGTACTATTTTTCTAAACAACAAAAATAATTTGGTAAAAACCGAGAAAACCGAAACCGAACCGAAATAAACCGAACCGAACAAACCATGGTTCCAAATTTTTGAACATAAAACCGAACCGAAACGAACCAAACATTTTACTTTGGTTCGGCATTTGGTTTTAGGTGAAAACCGAACCGTTAGAACCGAACTCACCCCTATTGGAAATTGTACAAATATTTTTCTAAAGTTATTGAATACCTTCTGATTTGAAATTACAATAAGGCCTCCAATATTGTAATAACTGTTAGTCCATAAAAATTAGTAGAAAACACTATTTTTCAAAAATATAACTCAAAACTCTCGTATTGCAGCATTTCCACTTCTTGTTCCATTCAAAACCATTAGGGCCCAACAAATATTTAACAAACAATTCTTTTACTTATAAAAAACGTTAAAAGAAGTCATACCGTTATCTTTTCGCTGAAATGGCATTTTCCAAACATATCAAAATTTCATTTTGACTGCGACCAAATTACGAGGACCGGGAACAGAGCTAAATAAATGAATTTCAAACATACGGTTCACACGATGCAAGTTTTTAAAATCAAAGGCCTTTCAGCTTCTCGCGTCTGTGCTTTTTAAATACACCTGGAAGTGGATCAAGTTTTTAAAACCAAAGGCCGATCAACGTAAGAACATTTTCTTTTGCAGACTGCAGTAACTGTGCAGTGTTCATGGCGGCGGTAAAGAAAGAGCCGGTAGTAGTACCCCTGAAGCTGTTGATAGATGAGAAGAATAATCGAGTACTGGCTGCGGAGGCTAGCAAGGACTTCGTTGAAATACTCTTCAGCTTTCTCACCTTCCCAATGGGAACCATCATCAGACTCATCACCTCTGCAAAGGATGAACCCACAGCTTCTGTAACAATAGGGTGCATGAACAAGCTGTACACGGGTATTCAAAACCTCAGCAGCGAGTACTGGCAGACAGAGTACTGCAAGAACATGCTTCTCAATCCAAGAAATCACCTTGCCCAATATAATACTGCAAGAAGTTGAAGATTAACATTGATGATTCTGGGTCCGAATACTCTTACACCTGTGGCTACACGGCCTGTCCCTATCATAGCATGTACAGAAATGTTAGGTGCTTATGTGGAAGGGGGATGACCACACAAGAGAAGCCGTCAGTTGATTCCAGCTCCTCAAGTAATCAGGGTGCAGCCTTTCTGATGGGGGGAATAGAGTTCTTAATCAGTGACGATTTACAGGTCAGGCCTGCCTCTCCGGCAGTTCTTGCTGAACTTATACCCGACCTCGGTTCAGGAGATTGCAGTGCAATGCCAATAAGGGAGATGCATCTTGATGTTTCCAAGGCTCAGGTAATGTATCACCGATAAATTTGATAACCATCTATGTAGCAGGGAAACTCTTGGGAAGGAGTATGTTTCCGTTTTGAAAACTCTAAGAAAAGTTTTCAAAAACTTTCCAAACAAAACAAGCATTTTTTGAGCAAAAGTGACAATTTCCTTTCTGCAATTTTATTGAAAACTCATATGGGAAGATTGAAATTCGTCAGATTCTGTCTAAATTGTCTGAATCAATGTGTCATGGGCTATTATTTAGCCAGTAGGATGCTACATACGAAGTACTCCGTACCTAATTATATACTGTTTGCAGGTAATCTGTCTGCTAGCATGTGCTCTGGTTTCGGAGTCTCCCTTAAGTGACGTCTTTCTGGCAAAACAGCAAGCGGGATCCAGCATAGCTGGAATCCAAATGAAGCAGCTGAAACTTGGAACTACTTTCTCATCCTCACCAGCTGCTGTCCCAGTTAAGGAGAATGGCCTTACCGTTAAGCTAAAAGTAACTTGCGTCAAGTCTTCAAAAGAGATATTGTTTGGTGAAGCGACAGATGAGTTCTTTGATTTCTTGGGCACCTTTCTAACCACTCCTATAGGATCAATGATAAGTGTTTTGGAAGGGAAGTCGGGATTAACATGTATGGACAATTTGTACAAGAGTGTGTCGGATTTGAACCACAAATGGTTTTGTTTGTCGGCTAAGAAAGACTTACTCAACCCCGGTATTGCCAATCATCATAACTGCAAAACGCAGCCTCTCACATCTATCAGTCCCGTATCATATTCTGATACTTATTATCTGATCAACCCGAGGGGGAGGGATAATTTTGCTGTGGAACCATCAGCGTTCTTGGTCCCGGATGATCTTAACGTGAAGCCTCTTTCGGGTGCTTCCAGTTTCCTCTTACTCAAGGGTTTGGGTATCCCCTTCAGCCAGACCGAGGTGCAATGGCTCACCGTGGGTACCAAAGAGGTTAGTGTTATATTAACCACTGCTCAACGCACCCCACATGTTTCAAATATTTCAAATGATTTCCATACTTATATACATAAGTTTAATGTTTTTTAATCAGGCTTTGAGCTTACTGAAGGCTGCTCTGACATCACCATCATTTGCTCTTACAAGCGGCTTAGGTCCCCTTTTGCAGAATCACACACCCTAAACATAAACGTAGTATGTCCTTTGGAGTAACTTCGCGAGAGCTTCAGTTTTTCAAATGAAAACCTACCTTAGCAGTTCAGTATGTTTTCACCAGCATTTCCATTGTCTAAATAATGCAATTCAAGTACATGTTTGCTCTCGGGCTGTGCTTTATGTACTTCCAGTTCCAGCCCAACTCAACTTTGTTTCGAATCCTGTAACTCACAACTGAAATGGTTTTTTTTGCTTCAGTTTTTTTCTTCCATCTATTCCCGTGAAATGTCAAATATGCAAACAGATCGATCTGGCGAAAATTCTCTCGACTCTCACCTAATTGCCTGAATAATGCATATTACAATAAATATGTTGGTGCTTTTTTCCAAAACATGCACAAAACAATTAATTTTATAACAGAAACATATAACATCATATCATCGGTTGGGTGAAAAATGTGACAATAACACATACTAACATAGATTTGTTTTTCATTGATAAAATATATAGGCATGTAGTGCAATCCATTACACCAAACAAAATTGGTGAAGGTTTGTTTTTGAAGGGGATTAGTGAAGGTTAATGGTACCGGTGTGCACATTTCGGAGTTGTGGACCGATTTAAATAAATTAATAAAAATAGAATCGGACAAATATTGTTACATAAATATGGATGCACAATTAACTAATAACATTGTATCAAGAAATTATGAACTTGTTTATATCTTATAAGATATTTACATATATTTTATTGGTAATTAGTACAAGTATCATTTTATCAAACTTTAAAGTTGAATTTAAGCAAGACCGTCTTGTTCATGAGCTCCAAAATTGGATGATTATTTTCTTATTTTGACATAATACAGAGTATCCGCTTCCTTTTACCTGTATGATGATACGTAGTACTTCGTACTACGTATAGGTATATCTACCAATGTTTTTCATCTTCATTAAGTCTAATTTACGCATATCAAATTTCAGATAAAAATTTAATCGGGAAGACAGTCAAATGTTTTTCTGAAATGTACTGGGCTGTTTAACTGCGCAGTTATATTCACAAATTCATTTGACTTCCTTACCGATTGAATTTTTAGCTGAAATTTGGTATGAGTAAACTAGATTTAATGAAGAAGAAGTTCAAAAAAAATTATCAAAAAATTCTACCGGGAACCCTCCAATTTGCGACGGCCAGACAGAGACTCCTATATAGTGAGTTGTACTTTTTAAGTCAGTTAGAGAATCTATTTGATCTTTTAGTATTTTATTTAGGAAAAGATTACATAAGTAATCCCAACTGTTTGTGGTCTTCTTATATTAATCTCAATGATTGATTATTTCAATATAATAAAGTATAAGGTGTATCTTCTCATACTAAACTAGTGACCCGCAAGAACTGATTCAGTCGGTCGCTCAGCCACGTGACTTGCTTTAATTGGACTGCATATTTTTTTCCATTTTCTTTTCTCTCCCCTCTTGGCAAGTGAGCAAGTCTGCTCAGTCGAGTGCCTCTTTTTTCTTTTGCCAGCGACTCTCTCTCAGTGAGTCTTCCCAGACTCCTTTTCTTTTTTATTTTCTCGGTTCGCAGTTTTCCTTTCCTTCTCTAACTTTGTTTTCTTTTGTTTTTTCCTTTTTACTTTCCGATGGCCGTTCCTAAATCCGAGATTAGGTAAGTGCTGCAATGGAGTCTTTGGATTCGAGCTTGTTCGGTCCGGGTCCATGGTCATGAAGAAGAAATGATTTGATTTTTTTTTTGTTTTTAGCTAGTTTTCGGAACTTGGTCGGTGCTTCGCCGGGGAAGACCACCAAAGTAATGAATTCTCGATTTCCCTAGACATTGCTGCTATGAGGGTTGTGCTTTTATTTTTGGTTCCCGTCAAATGTATCCGGTGGGATTAAAAAGCTAAACAAAGAAAATTATGAAAATGACGGAGAAGAACTCAAGAAGACAATACCCTATAATCCTATATATCTATGGTTGTTATTTTGGATCAGAATGGGATTATGAATAAAATATTAAAAAGGCTTATTACACAAAATAAATCCAAGGTTTCGACTTTGGGACAAATCTAGTCTATCGTATACATAATTTCTTAAAAGCATCCAGCGTTTTAATAACTATGACAAATCTATAATCTGTTTTATTCCGTCTATTTTATGCCGTTAGTTGCTTACCTGGCATCTAAAAGAAACACTAATCTGTCGATTCATTAGCCAACGTGTTATTCAGCTATTTAATAATTTAAAGGAAAATCACACTTTTAGTCCCTGAAATAGTCACTACATTGAAATATCAGACCCGTATTTTTGAGATTGTAAATGTCACCCCTTAAATTTTTCAAATTGCTGTAAATGTCGTCCTTTGAGGGTGAAATGTACTCATCGCCCACATTGTACATTTCACCCCTCAAAGGACCACATTTACAACAATTTGGACAATTGAGGGGTGACATTTACATACTAGGGAACACGGGTCTGACATTTCAATATCACGACTATTTCAGGAATTAAAAGTGTGATTTTTCCATTAATTAATAAAATTCTACTCCGGTAATTCATTAGGTAAAGCCCTCTTATGCGTAAGATGTTAAGTGCTAACCATACGGTTCAAACTGAAAGAAGGTACTCACCTTCTCACATGGGTTTTCAAGAGAATCTTGCTTCTCAAAAATAAATCAATGGTGGCTTGAACTAGTGAAAGGAATTCATCACTTTCGGATATTACTTAATTAAAATTTCCATCTTACTTATCCATTGTGGAAAGCAACGTAAGTGCACTAGATTTGTAATAGTTTAGATTGAAGCATGAGTTTTGCACAATAGGTGTTTGTGAAAATGACCAAAAGATGTTTCATAAGTCATTCTACCCACAATTGCAAACAAATTATTTTTTTTGCTGAAACAATATGACTGCACCAAGTCTAAGCTATTAGATTGATGCAAATACAAATACGTACTTTCCAAAAAATGAAAAGAATGAACTACCTCCAATTATCCAAAAAGAGTATTGTTTTTAATGTTATTTTTTCTTTCCATTTCTATAAGGCCTAAGAATTAGTTGTTTCTTTTTGTAATTTCATGTAGTTGAAACTTGCAAAAAGCTGCAATCTTATATGGTTAAGATCTTTAAGATGTTTTGGAACCTTAAAATGTTTTAGTCATTTTATATGAGACCTTGATGTTTTAATCTATATCGTGTGTATGGATGGCATTTAGCCGTATGGAACAAGTGACAGAAATGAGCCTATCTCCGAATACAATTATATATTGGCATTTGTCATATTTGGCATTCGTGCATATAAGAAACTACCATAACAAGTGTCTGGTAAAAATATTTGGTGATTCCACAAGATTGCTTTCACGTTTTCAACACCAAATCTTGCAGAAAATGTGCTCTCAGCAAGTGTCTGGTAACTATCAGATAATCCATAAATATTTAGAGGAAGATGTAGGGGTTGTGCACTGTGCTCTCAACAAAAATCAAAGGAGAGAGTTCTCTGTCGGTTGGTTAGGGATAGTGGTGTGTTCTTCCCTGTGCTCGAGGGTTCTTTTAGCTAGGTTGGATGGGGAGGGATATGGGTAATAGTCGGGGGGGGGGGGGGGGGTTGAAGGGTCATGAGGAATAGCCTGAGTAATTTTGTTTAGGCCTGTAGTTGCTGTCGTGAGGTTAACAGTGATGAGGGATTCAAGGGAGAGGATAATATGTGTTCTGTTTTTTTTTTAATATCAGAATGACATACATTCTTGTTTTTTTGTAAATAAATATTAAAATGACACATCAAATAACAAATAAGAAGACTAAATCCTAGGTGTACAAAACACATAGACACGTAACAGACCGATGAAACCAAAGTGGACGGATTATAGATTTGTCATAGTTACTAAAACGCTGGATGCTTTTAAGAAATTATGTATACGATAGACTAGATTTGTTACAAAGTCTAAACCTTGGATTTATTTTGTGTAATAAGCCTATTAAAAAAGGTAAATGGAAGGGGGGGTGTTGACAAGAACGTAACAGCAAAGAGGGGGATGACTACTGATCATGGCAATGAACCTTCTGGACCATGTTTTTTTTTCTTTTATTTTTATTTTTATGTTTTTTACATGTTCAGTAAGTACCAGGTCACTGGATCAATATGAGAAGACTACATATGAACTTGGTATTATTCAAGAATTACGCATATTTGGGATTAATATAAGAAGATAGTTAGTAGTTTGGATTATTCGTGTAAATTTTTCCTTTTATTTACTACTATTAAATTTCATATTCGATTTGAAGTTGACAAAGTTGAGTGAAATAGATGTGATATCAAATTTATTACTTCCTAATACATTACAGTAATACAGTTATATTATATGATTCAAAATTCAATTTAATATCAACGAGTACAAATTCACTTTTCATTGATAATTGAAATGAGACAAGCTTTAATTAGACTTCAAATACCCACACGATACAGACTTGCAGAGTATATAAAACCAAAGGCGTTACAGCTTCTTCCCTCTGCGCTTTAAATACATCCAGAAGTGGATCAACCGATCAACAACTTTTTCGTTTGCAGAAAGTCTTTTAAGCAGAACCGCGGAGTGTTCATGGCGGCAGTAAAGAAAGAGCCGGAACTAGTACCCCTGAAGCTGTTAATAGATGAGAAGAACCACCGAGTAGTGGCTGCAGAAGCAAACAAGGACTTCGTGGACATACTCTTCAGCTTTCTCACCCTCCCAATGGGAACCATTATGAGACTCATCACCTCTGCAAATGAGAAAACTACAGCTGCTGTACCAGTAGGGTGTATGAAGAACTTATATGAAGGCGTTCAAAACCTGAGCAGCGAGTACTGGCAGACAGAACACTGCAAGAACATGGTTCTCAATCCAAGAAATCCCCTTGCCAAATACTGCAAGAGTTTGAAGATTAACATTGATGATTCTGGGCCCGAACTTACTTATGGCTGTAATAGCGTGTACGAATTCGTTAACAACACAGAAAGCATAATGTTTTATAGCGAACACTTGGCTGCTATGGAGAGAGGCCGCTGTAAGTATTACAGCATATACAGAAATGTTAAGTGCGTCTGTGGAAAGGGGATCACCACCAAAGAGATGACGGCGAAGGCGAAGGCCGGCGATTCAAGTTCAGAGGGTGTGTCCTTTTTGAAGAGAGGAATAGAGTTCCTAATCAGTGATAATTTACAGGTCAGGCCTGCCTCTCCTGCAGTTCTTGCTC